GTGACAATACCTAGACATGATGTTCAGGAGCCTTCAGAAATGGCTTTGGAAGAGTTTGGAAAGGTTCAGAGACACTAGCTGAAAAAGTACAGCTGGAACTTCTTAGGCAGTACAGTACGGAAGATTTTGGTCAGAGTTTAAAAGACCAGAAAGCCATAAACACCAGGCTTAGGAAGTTTCTGCTGGGAAGAAGGGCTGCATTTGCTGCTGGACTCCAGATGATGTATGTAATGCCTTGGCAGAAAGTTTGTCTGCATTTTACTTGTGTCCAGAGACTTTACCTGAGACTGAAATTAAGGGCAGCAGACTAATTAATCTTGTAGAAGAAATTTCGAGGCACTCTAATATTCAGGTGGCAGCATGGCTACTGTTTTAGCAATCTGTTTTTAGCAAGATTTATGTTGAGAATCAAGAGCAAAGAGCCCAGCAGAATAATTTAAAACATCTTGGGTAGAAAGGAAGCACCAGTAAAGTTGTGGACTGCAAGGACAGAGCAGAGGAGATCTTGATTGTTGAGAAGGAACAAAAGAATAGAAAAGATGGCCTGAAGGCATCACAAAAAGCAGAAGGACTCTAGCCTTTGCAGCCTCAAAATTGCAAAAGTAAAAGACTTTGCTTTGAGAAGAGAGTCCCAGAGCACCATGTTCTAGAATGGCAGTAGCCTAGGGAAGTTGTTCCTCCAGATTTGGTTCATAGGCTCTTGACACCTTCAGGCAAGAGAGAAGGAAGCCTGACTATGGCTCAGACTGGCAGCAGACCTTGGCATCATCTCTGTGATGCTGGTTTTAGGTGCATGTAGAATGCAAGAGTTCTGGAGTCAGCAAGGCCTCACCCCAGATCATAAGAAGGCATTGGAAGCTAGGCAGTGTGACCCTGAAAGGGCAGTGTATGAAGTTGTGAGTGTGAAGCCAAGGTGCAGTAGAGAACCCGGAAGTTTGTAGAAGTCAGTAATGTGAATCATCTGAGGAACACTGCAAGGAGGGAGCAGGGCAGGCCTGAGAGAGAAGCAGTGGGAGCTACCATCACCAAAGTGTCATAGGGGCAGAGCTGCCCAAGTCCCTTGGAGTTCACATCTTGCCACAGATTACCTTGTATGCTGAACACAGAACTACAGGACTTAATATTTGCCTTGATGAATTTTGGACTTGCTCTGGTCCCATTCTTTTGTGTGCCCCTATTTGTACCTTTTGGAATGGTAATATTTATCTTGTGCCACTGAATGTTGGAAGGGTTTAACTTTCTTTTCATATTTACAGAGTCTCACAGCTGAGAGTTTGTCTTAAATCTCAGAGGAGACTTTGGACTTGGATTTTTCAGCAAAGTGGAAACTGTAGGAATTTGGCAAATCTCTGTTTTATGCAAAAGGAATGTGCATGAGTCTTTGGGAGGGGCCAGAGGTAGAATGTTATGGCTTGTGTTTAGATGTTACCCCAAAGCCTCATGCAGTCATAAATAGGCTTCTGCAGAGGTGGCTGGATCGAGAGTGTGTGATTGATTCTTGATGCAATGCTGGGATTAAGGGTATGTGATCTTACTAAATCAGTGCACTGATTATTTTAGCACCACCCTACTCCCAGTAGTCTGGACAAGATAACAGGGGCAGAAAGACACTGTTAAGGTCACTCTATTGCTTTTGCTGTCTTCCACCACCATAAATGGTTGCCCCTCTGCCGTGTGCCACTCTGCCTTTGAACCAGCTCATTATGGAGTGAAACAGTGAAAACTATGAACTAAATAAACCTTTCCTCCCTTAACTTGTGGGTGTTGGGTATTTTGTTTCAGCAACAAGAAAAGCAACTAAGGCACTTCTCAACCATTGTCACATTAAATTTGGGTAAACTTTTTTTTTGTTGTTTTTTTTTCCGGTACCGGGAATTGAACTCATGACCTTGCACTTGACAGGCAGGCGCTGTGCCACTGAGCTAAATCCCCAGCCCCTGGGTAAACTTTTTGAGGAAATATGGAAATAGAGTAAAAGATACCTACTACAAAAATAATTTCTGTAATTCATGTGTGTTTATTCTTGGCAATATATTCAGTGAAAAAACTTTGCTTCTAAAAAATTATAAAGTTAAAGATTTGTATTCTCTTTACATTTCTTCAAGGTTGCTCT